GGTTTTTTTAGTTACTATTCTCAATAAACAGAAAAGAAATGCTAAAAATTAAGCATATCCACATACCTAAATATTGGATTGAGATCATTCTTCCTATATATGTCTCAAAACCCAAAAATATTCTAAATAGAAAGTACACGATGCCGTGAACTATCCTCCACATGAACTGGAGAGATCTGAAGCCAAAATCAAGGTCAAGGGTGTCAGCAGCAGCCACGTGATTAATAAAGAGTCAGAATGCAAGTCACTCACAGCTGTGTTCCTGGTAAGCCTTGTCCAGAAAGCAGGTAAGCCTACTTTGACACAAGCCAAAAAATCAGACTCACTATAGAACCCTAAATATTCAGCAAATTCCCAGAGCCTTCTATTTCACCTTGTGGATTAAGCAGAGAAATGACACAATAAAATAAATTTTATTCACTCTCTCCTGGTAGTCCCGGAGTCTACCTTCACTCTTAGAGAAAAATCTATTTCTCCTTTTATGTGTATAAGAGATACCTCCTCTTAGATCTCTCTCCCGGATGCCCTTGTCTCTACTGCTGGAAGAGACATTGACATGGTAAAAGGCAAATCTCCATCCGTAAGGGTTATCTCCCACTCTGTACCAGGAAGAGGATGACTAAATCTCTAGAAACGCATATGAATGTAGAAAGCAAGGATTTCAGTCTGCATCACAATCATACCCTTGTTTCCTGTGTTTTTCCAAGTAACCCCCCCCAAAACTTGCTCCCCACTCCCAACATCATCTTTTGTCTTTAGCTGGAGAGGTTATTTAACATGATGGCTTGGGCCACTTGGTTTTCCTGGGTTTCTCCCATGAACGCAGGAGGTAAACAGGTTATTAAGCTTTCTTTGTTTTTGTCCTGTTAATCTTTTATGACAGAGGGGTCTCAGCCAAGAACCTAGAAGGGAGGAGTAAAAATTATTTTTCCTCCTCCACACCTATGAAACAGATTTTAGCAGCAAATATACCCTAAAGGAGGCTCCTGGTTTCCAAATTATCTACTTTTTTAGCTGGAAGGGCCAGAATGACCATTACCCACTGTAAGTCATTGTTATTTGCTCAAGTTTAACTGATTTCCCCAGGCTGCCTGGTATCTGCTGCCTGACGATTCTGTTCCCTTAGCCTTTCTCCTTAAGAGGACTTCTCACCATCAGCACAAATGCTGCCTCTTAAGGCTATTTTTCTCCAACAAACTGATTACAGGCCATAAAGATGTTCAGTGGCAATTAGGTTTTATTGTTCCCATCTCACTTATGAGTATAGAAGCTATCAAAATGCAAAATGCACAGATCCTCAGACTTAGTAATTCCCCTCTAGGAACGCATGCCATAGAAATGCGCATGCATGGGCCGCAAGGACATATGCACAGGGATACTAATTTGGAACATGATTTAAAGTTGCAAAATAATGGACACATATTCATCAGTGTGAGACTGGTTAAATAAATGATGCATACAGCAGGGAAGCATGTGGAAGTTCCCTGTGCACTGACAGGGAGTGATGCGCACAAAAAGCAAGGGGGAAAAAAAAAAAGCAAGGGGGCACAGTGTCTCAAGCATGCTAGCCAATGTATTTGTTAAAAAGGAAACACATATCCATATATGTGTGCCCACGCGCACGGGCACGCGCACACACACACACAGTGCAAAGAATAGTCCGCAAAGGATTAACCTTGCCAAAGCTATCTAACAGTGGCACCTACTGGTCAAACCACTTCCTAGCACACACTACCCCCACCCCCCCAAATCACTTCCTATCCCAAAGTATTATCTTAGGAAAGAAAATCCATGATTTGCCTGCACAGCCGTTTCAGCCATTAGCCAAGAAATATGTTTATAATAAAGCTTCATAAGGAACTCTTCAATAGTATTAGGTCTTCTGAGCATAGGACTTAAAAGTACCATCTGGCTGGGAAGCTATGGTTCATTATGGTCTGAATTGCAAGCTATAAAAAGAGTGAAGAATATCTCTATATCCTTCCATGGAGTGATCTCCAGCATATAATGTTAAGTTAAAAAAGCAAGAAAGAAAAAAACGTGCAGAGCATGCTACCATTTATCTAAGAAGGAAAGGGGGTTACAAGTAGACATATAGGTTTACTTATATTTTTTAAATGGAAAGATAACCTGTTAAAAAAAGAAAGAAAGACAACCTATTAAAAAATAGAATTAATGACTACCATAAAGGAAGGGAAGTGATAGGATGGAGGAGCGAAGAACGGAAGTGGATTTCTTAAAATCAGCGGTTCTCCGGTTTTGCCCGTGCCCCCAGGGGATGTTTGGCTGGAATTTTAAGTGTCACAATTGGGGGTTGGGAGGAGTCTACTACTGACATCTAGTGGGTAGAGGCCAAGGATGCTCCTGAATATTCTACAGTGCACAGGACAGCACCCCACCACAAAAAATAATCCAGCCCAAAATGCCAATAGTGCAAATTGTATATTTAATGGGGGACTTGTATTTAGAATACATAAAGAACTCTTACAATCTAATAATACAAAGACAAATAACCCAGCTCAAAAACAGGCAAAGGACCTGAATAGACATTTCCCCAAAGATGGTATACAAGTGGCCAGTAAGCACATGAAAAGATGCTCAATATCCTCAGCCATCAGGGAAATGCAAATCAAAGCCACAAAGAGATACAACTTCACACCCACTGGGATGGCTATAACCAAAAAGTCAAATAATAATGGGGCCTCTGGCTGGCTCAGTCAGTAGAGCACGCAACTCTTGATCACAGGGTTGTAAGTTCAAGCTCCATGTTGGGTGTAAAGATTACTTAAAAATAAAATCTTAAAAAAAAAAAGAGAGAGAGAGAGACAAAACAAGTGTTGAGGATGTGAAGAAGCTGGGATCTTCATATACTGCTGGTGGGAATATAAGTTATTGAAGCCGCTGTAGAAAACAGTGGGACAGTTCCTCAGAAGCTTAAACATACAGTCTCCATATGACTTACAATTCCACTCCTAGGTGTATATACCCAAATGAAATAAAAACATGTCCACAGCACAACTTGCATCCAATGGTCATAGCGGCATGATTCAAAAGTGTCAAAAAGTAGAAAGAACCGAAATGTCCATCAATGGATGAATGAATTAATAAAATGTGTTGTGTCCATCTAATGGAATATGATTCAGCAATGAAAAGAAACAAAGTACTTATAGATGCTATAACATAGACAGACCTTGACACCATTATACTAAGTGAAAGAAGTCAGTCACAAAAGGCCACGTATTGTATGATTTCATTTACATGAAATGCCCAGAATAGGCAAATCCATAGAGACCCAAAACAGATTAATGGTTACCTAGAGCTGGGGGTGAGAGTAGGTTGGGGGCGTCAGCTAAGGGGTGTGAGGTTTCTTTTGAGGTAATGAGAATGGTCCGACATGGATTGTGATGATGGTGGCAGAGATCTGTGAATATGCTAAAAGCCATTGAATTATGGACTTCAAATGGCTAAATTTTATGGTATGTAAATTATATCTCAACAAAACTGTTAAAAAAAAAGTGATCACGGGGCGGGGGTGGGGTACCTGGGTGACTCAGTCAGTTAAACGTCTGCCTTTGGCTCAGGTCATGATCCCAGGGTCCTGGATCGAGCCCCGCATTGGGCTCCCTGCTCAGTGGGGAGTCTGCTTCTCCCTCTCCCTCTGCCCCAGCTCATGCTCTCTCTCTCTCAAATAAATAAAATCTTTTTAAAAAAAAAAGTGATCATGGGGCACTAAGCTGGCTCAGTAAGAAGAACATGTGACTGTTGATCTCGGGGTTGTGAGTTCAAGCCCCACATTGGGTGCTGACATTATGAAAAATAAATAATAAATAAACTTAAAAAAAAAACGATCACAAGGGTGAGGTATGCACTCTGACAGAGGTGGGCACGAGGCACAGAAGGCAGAGGCAAGGGAAGACCGGAGATCAGGACAGCCTTCCCAGGATGAATAGGAAGTTGTCAGTCATCGGTTTGGTTTACTTTTTTAATTAAATTCTTCACTGGTTTCATTGACATTCCAGGGGAAGGGAGACTGAAGGAAGGGGGACATCTCAGGTATAGGGAATATATAATTATAATTGCCCTATTTTATTATTAGTTATTGTTGTTCATCTCTTATTGTGCCACATTTATGAATTAAACTCTATCATAGGTATGGACGGGTAGGAAAAAATAGAGTATATATACAGTTGGGTACCACCCACACTTTCAGGTAACCGCTGGGGGTCTTGGCACGTCTTCCCCACAGGTAAGGGGGGCCTACTGTAGCAAAGCCACACGTGACCAAGCACAGTGACCTTCAGTCCCAGCCAAGAACCTTGGACTGAATATTTTCTAGGAAAAAGAATCAGTGAAAGATGAGGAGCAGCGCAAGAAAGGTCGTCACCTTTGTGTTAGAAAGGCAGATGACCGCCAATGTGGAAACTAGACAGGCAGGGGACGAGTCTGGAGACAGGACAGCCCATTTATTTACATGAGCAGTTATAAAGTATTGTCACAGTGGAGTTAATCCTTTCCTAAACATGAGGCTTGAAAACTGCTGCAAAAAGAAATCAGTCCAGGACTGTGTTTCTTCAAGGCACAGCTGACAAGAGGGACTATTGAGAGCAGAGCCGTTTCATATAAAAATAATAGTAGCAGTAGTAATAACAGTAATAAAATCATATCTAATTTAAAGTGTCCTGATGTGGTAAGGAAAACATAACAATAATTTCCCCTTATGCGTTTAGGCCAGAGCTAGAAACAAAATGACAATGACCCGGGGCGCCTGGGTGGCTCAGTCGTTAAGTGTCCGCCTTTGGCTCAGGTCATGATCCTGGGGTCCTGGGATCGAGCCCCATATCAGGCTCCCTGCTCAGTGGGGAGGCCTGCTTCTCCCTCTCCCACTCCCCCTGCTTGTGTTCCCTCTCTCGCTGCGTCTCTCTCTCTGTCAAATAAATAAATAAATAAAATCTTTAAAAAAAAAATGACAATGACCCAACCCAGAAAGATAAGCCACTTACCACAGGAACACAGGCATTTGGCTCAAATTCTGTGGAATCGGCACCTGAGGATGAAGAAATGAGGTCAATAATTCACCAGTATTGCTGAGAAATAGTTTAAGTAATAAGAATTTTTTAAATCAAAGGGTATTAGCAAATAGCAGGCCTACCTTTCAAGTTAAGGCAGTTTCTTGCAAACTCTATCACGGCTAGTTGCATCCCAAGGCAAACTCCTGTTTGAAAAAGCATGTGTATAAAGCAAATGAACATATTTTGTATGACTTCATATTTCCTGTTCATTTGTTTACTGCCCATCTCCTTCCTCTAGAACGCAGGCTCGGAGAGAGCAAGACTGCCTGCCGGGTTCACTGCTGTGCCCTCTGCACTCAGAACACCTGTGGCCGGAGGCAGGCGGGGGGATTAAGCCACCTGGACTTGAGGAAGAAGGAATTCAAGGTCAGAAAAGAGCAAGAGAAGACAGGGCAAAGGTCCCAAAGGCAAATCTGCCTCCTTCCAAATTTGCCTCTAACTCGAGGCATATGCGTGGGATGCAGGGCTGACCCAGAGCGCGTGATTCCTTCCAAGAACGTCTACCAACACCCCGACTCAAGAGGGAGACTTGATACTCCCTCCTCTCAGAGGGCAGCCTGAGGCTGGCCAGCGGGCCGGGATCGAAGGAGCAGGAAGTCTGTGCCAGGCTGCTGGGCGCAGAACGGCCCTATAACCTCACTGCAGGAGAACAGCGGCAGCTGGGGGAAGTTGGCATCTCCACTGCGGGCTTGAGCATGCTGGCGAGCAGGAAAGGGAGGCGCAAGATGGAACGGAACAGAGAACTCAATAAGGAGGAAAACAAACACCTGTGTAGCCCCCAGCTGCTGCCACAGGGATGGGTCCTTCACCCATCTCCACATCCACCCATTCTCTCCACTCAACAGATGCCAAGGAACATTCCAGATGTTTTTATAGACATATCTAAGGTATACAAGGGACTCATCAGAGAAGGGCAATCAGTATAGTTGGCACACTAGAGCAAAAGTTGGTGAGCACGAAACAGCTGAGTGCTTTGGGGGGGAACTTCAGCAAGTTCCAAATGGCTAAAACATAAAGAGATGCTGTGTTAAAGAGAAAGCTGAAGAGTTGCAAACTATTCTATACAGCGAAAACTATCTGAAGAACACTAACCGCGTTTAGACAAAAACCAAACAAGATTACTTCATAAGAAAACAGTGGCCCAGAGGAGCTTAGATGGGTAAAACAAAGCAACATATCAAGATATCTAACTACTCCCCACTTCTCTTTTGAAAATGGATCCCAAGTGGAGAGCGTGTAGGAAGCTATTCAAAGGACAGGAGGCAGTGGGGAAAATGAACAATCTGCTGATATTGCAAAAGCCACAGAAGCCAGTCCACTCGGTCATAAACCCACCAGTACAGTGACAAACACAGCCTCTCCCCCACTTCCCTTCCCACACCCCTGCCCCTGCCTGAATCCCCAGCTGCAGAGCTGCCTTTCCCCCACTGAGGGGCCATTTCATCTGGTTCACTGGTCCAGAAGCAATGCTTTAAAATTTGAACAAAAGGGGCGCCTGGGTGGCTCAGTGGGTTAAGCGTCTGCCTTCAGCTCAGGTCATGGTCCCGGGGTCCTGGGATCGAGCCCCACGTCGAGCCCCACGTCAGGCTCCCTACTCGGTGGGGAGTCTGCTTCCCCCTCTGCCCCTCCCCACTGCACTGCTCTCTCACTCATGCTCTCTCTCCCTTGAACAAATAAATAAAATCTTTTATAAATAAATAAATACATACATAAATAAATAAATAAAATTTGAACAAAGACTTTAAAAAGACCTGGCTCTACCAAATTTTAGCAGAGGTCTTCCTGTGATGTAGGATGGTCTCTTCTAGCTCGAAGTGGTGAAAAGATGGATTTGGGTGAAAATGGGAGAAGGTAAGGGCAGGTGTACACAGCGACTTCTCCCAGCCTCTTGCTACCCAACCAGAATGGTGCTAAGTTCTCCCAGGTCAACAGCCTTTTCTACGAAGGACCAGACAGTAAAGATTTTAGGCTTTGCAGGCTGTAGGCCTCGAACTCTGCCACTGCACCATAAAAGTAGCCACAGACAATATGTAAACAGATTGGTGTTACTCCAATAAAATCTTATTTACAAAAACAGGACAGAGTTTGCTGGCCCCTGTGGTGGACTATTTGGCACCTGAATATGCAAATCTGAGTTCACACCTTTCATGTTAACAAACCCTATGACGTGTTACCCCTACTACATATCAACAATCCAATCAACTCATAGTTAGGATGCATAAACGTGAGTTTTACCCAGGAAAGGGATCTTCTTTGCCCGTGCCCAAGAAATGGCCTGGAGTTTTCCCAACGTTCCTCGGATTCCGAAGCCTCCCGGCACAAGAACACCACTGCAATCAACACAAGACGAGGGTGAATTTGACATCGTTTTTCTTTTTAAAACTCTTATTTTCAGCCAGTCAGGCTTACTGACCCCAAGTCCAACACTTGGCATGATTGCTAGAGAATATGCTTGAGGTCTATTTTCAGAATTGACCACATGATTTCACATCCTGAACTTTCTTCCTGAAATCCTCCCAATGTTATGAAGAAGAGGCAATACTTTTTCACAACTGACTTCGATATATATATTTTCCGATAGGTCTTTATGGTATGTGAGCATAGTGACTGAGAAACTCAGTTCGATTACAAATGCCCCTGAAGTATCTGAATAAAAAAAGGTTAAGGTTCTTTTAAAAGCACTATTAGAAAAACGTTAAGATCTCTTGCATAATCAGAAAGAGTTAAACTGGTAAAATCAGCCTAAGATTTCAATTGCTAATTAAATAGTGGCACATGAAAGTCTCCTGGCTAGGAGACACTTTAGAGACCTTTTAGGCAAACACTCATTGAAAAAGACAAGAGTTCAAGAACTAACTGGGAGGGTCATTCTACCCTCACAACACGGTGTTGCCCCCAAAAGTTCTGTTGACTACTTATAAAATAAAACCTAGACTCAAATGATGTAAAAAAGAAAATATAACCAAGAAGGAAGAGTTGCATCCTTGTTCTTTAATTGTGCATCTGTAAGATCTATTTCTGTATCTTTCAGTAGAATCAACCCACTTTCTCCCCGTACAGGATCCCCATAGTCCCCTGAAATAAAACCCATTTCCACTGCACATGCCACGAACATGAACGTGGCACGTTTCAAAGTAAATGAGGTGAGGATGCAGCATGTCCACCCTTAATGACCACGACTACAATAGACTACCTTTCAAAAATGCACAAAAATTAGGAATTGGGGTCAATCAGATCGTTATGGGAAAAGCACAATGGCATTCTCCTAATTGGCATGGACGGTCCTTGGCACTCACTCAGCTTTGCACAGCTTCTGCCAAGCTTCATGGAATTTCACAGGGTCCTCAGTTTCGGTGGTCTGCTCCAGATCAATGGAGTCTATGTACTAAAAAAAATATCCAATAGATTAAAAGAACATTTAAGAAAAGTAGATACTCAAAAATACTCGAGGCATCTAACACTCTGACCCAACTATTCAATAACTACTCATTTTGCAAACACTGCACGGGTCACTTAGGATAGAAAAGCACAATCTCAGGCTTGGGGCTCTTATCTTCCAGGAAGACTACAGAACCAAATACACAGGCACACACACCATAGCGTGGTAGTGGCTATGATGGGCAAAGAGAATGCTGTGGAAATAAGTAGGAGCCACACTTAATCTAGACCTTGACACGGCAGGAAAGATGGGAAGAAGCACCATCGGGGAAGGTCTCTAGGGAGGTGATGTCCGAGCAGCTCAGCCCTCGAGGATGAGCCTGTGTGTGCATGTTGGGAGGCTGGCGGGAAGGTGTGTGGGAGACACAGGGAGGAGGGGAGCAAAGGAACAGCTTGTATGAAACCTCAGAGGAAAGACACAAAGGGGTGGTCACTCGGGGGCCCTCAAAGCAGACTCCACCAAGGGAGAGGAGAAGTTTACACTTGAAGCCTACTGGAAGGTCTTAAGGAACAGAGAAAACAGAGAGAGATTTTAGAAGGATCACGGTGCTATGAGGTGGAAAATGGAGGGAAGACAGCAAACCAGTCAGGAAGCTGCTACAGTAAGCCAGGTGAGGTAAACACAGGAGCAAAGTGGTCTGAAAAGAATATGACGAGACCATGATTCAAATAGTACTTCGTGGGCGCCTGGGTGGCTCAGTCGTTAAGCGTCTGCCTTCGGCTCAGGTCATGATCCCAGGGTCCTGGGATCAAGTCCCACATCGGGCTCCCTGCT